TGGCTTAGTTTCTTTGGAGATACTTATGTATCAGTTTGTAAGGATTAACCACCACATTGTTTTCTTAAATTTAAACGTCTGTGTTTTCTGGACGAGTAATACATTTACATGGGACAAGATGGGAAAAGATGCAGAGAAAATCAGCTCACTTCCGCTTCCACAGGCTACCCTTTAAGTGGGTGAAGAAAACCTTGTGAGCCCCTCCCACACCCCAGGCCTCTCTTTGCAAGTGTACCTGTCCCCCTCCAGACTCCTCATACCCTGGGGCCACTCTGGAACAGGGTGAGGGACAGAGAGAACTTCAGGTTGCTGTGGAAAGTGGGGTTTGGTCTCCCCCTTACTTCTTGTGTTCTCAGGGTCAGCCTGGAGAGGGAGGCCATGGGGACGCTCTCTCCCTGCCCCAGCCCCATGTCTTTGTTTCCCTCATACCATAGGCTTATCCCCGGGGCTGGAGGAGCAGAGTAGGGGAGAGGTCTGCAAACCTCCCAGAATTCGGAGGAGGAGCTGGAGCCTGCTGTCTGTATAAAATACCATCATAGTCACTGTTTCCTTCTTGCAAATGAATTCCTGCCAAGAAGGGGGACTGGCAGGCCGGTCAAGAAGGCTGGGGGTTGACTAGGAGATCAGTGAGAAAACTCAAAGACCTCAACCCTTTATTATCTATGCAAATTGCCTAACTCTCACTCCCTGGCACCAACACACACACACACACACACACACACACACACACACACATTCCCAAAAGGGGGCACATGCTACCTGTCTGGACTCTCATCCTTGCAAGCTTCTAGCAGCACAGCACAGGCCCCTCCTCCCCTCTGGGTCTCAGTTTCCTCGTCTGGAACCTGAGGCATTGGAGAGGATGTCTGCAAAGCCCTTGCAGTTTTCTCTGTCCCCAGACAACCCTGGTTCTGGCCTCTGAGACTTGTGGCTCCAGATTGCTCAGAAAGGGATTCTGGTGCTGGTGCTGGGAGGCCCCAGGAGAACCTGATTTATGGGCAGGGCTGGGGGAGGGCACAGAAGCAAGAAGCCCTAACATCCCAGTGCTGGAGGGGGTAGTGGGGTGATAGCAGGGGATGGGAAGTCTGGATCTCTGGGGGAGGCACCCAGCAGTGGGGTCCACCCTCATCTCCAGAGCCTGCGAAGCTGCAGGGGCCGGATACCTCTCTGGTGCTTCCACTTTGAGCAGACTGAGGGCTATGGGGGGGTCCCTGCCCCACAGTTGTGGGAGAGCTGTTTTTCTGGAGGAGGCATGGACTGCATGTCAGGACCTCAGGGACAGGGCTGAGAATGGCGACAGACATTCTGGGCTCCAGAGGAAGCTCCAAATTGCCAGGAGAGAACAAACTGATAAATTGGACTTCACTAAAATCAAGACCATCTGCTCGGCAAAAGGCACTGTTAAGAAAATGAAAAGACAAGCCGCAGACTGGAAGAAATATTTGCAAAACATGTATTTGAAAAAGGACTGGTATCCAAAATATACAAAGAAAACTTATAATTTAACATTAAGAAAGCAAACAACCCAATTTAAAAATGGGCAAAATATCTGAACAGACACCTCACCAAAGAAGATATGCCATGGCAAATAAACACATGAAAAGATTCTCAACATCATAGTCATTGGGGAATTGAAAATTAAGGCAACAATGATATCACTACATACCCATTAGAATGGATAAAACCCAAAATGCTGACAACACCAAATGCTAATGAAGATGTGGAGCCACAGGAACGCTCATCCATTTGGTGAGAGTGAAAAGGGCACAGCCACTTTGGAAGACAGTCTGACATTTGTTTTAAAACTAAACATGCTTCTACCATATGATTGAGTAATTGTGCTTTTTGGTATTTATCCAAATGAGCTGGAAATACACGTCCACACAAAAAAGCAACACATGAATGTTTATAGCAGCTTTATTCATAAATGCCCCAAATTGGCATTTACCAAGAAGCCCTTCAGTAAGTGAATGAATAAATAAACTGGGGTGCATCAATACGATGGAACATTATTCAGCAACAGAAAGAAATGAGCTAGGAAACCATGAAAAGACATAGAACAGCCTTAAATGCATATTGCTGGGTGAAAGAACTCAATCTGAAAAGGCCACATACTGTATGGTTCCAACTATATAATATTCTGGAAAATGTGTAACAATGGAGACATTAAAAAGATGATTGGTTTCCAGTCTAATTAAGAAGATAATAGTTTGAGTTCCTTTATTATATATTTATTTCTTTTTATCAAATTGGCAAATTATATTTTTGAGAAATTTCTTCATTTTAATCCAAACTGCCAAATTTATTGGTGAATATGTAATACCCTTTTATTACCATTTTTAGTGTGTAAAGGACTTGTAGAGATGTCTAATTTTCATTCATGATATTGATAATTTGTTCTCTCATCAGTCTTGCTCAGGACTTATCAATCAGTATGTTGGTTTTCTAATTTATAGATTTCTGTTCTTACACTTATTTCCTTCCTTCTACTTTCTTTAGGATTGATCTACTGTTCTTTCTCTTGCTTTTTGAGATATAAATGTAAATAATTGATTTTTAGTGATTGCTCCATCCTAAGATATGATTTTATGGCAATAAATTTCTTCCTAAGCATTGCTTTAGCATCCCAAGAGTTTCAATATCATACATTCATTATTAACCAGTTCAATATATTTTCTAGCTTCCTTTTTAAAAATTTCTTTTCGACTTAAGATTTGTTTATGGATGTTGTGCTTAATTCTCAAGCAGTTGGGATTTTCTAGTAATATTTTTGTTATTGATAGTTTAATTTCATTGTAGTCAGATAACATACTTTGTTTGGTTTCAATCATCTGAAATTTGATATTCTACTTGTATTTAAAAGTAATGTGAATTCTGCTGTCAGGCACAGTGTTCTATTTCAAAGAGGTCACATTTATTAATTGTTTTGTCCAGGTCCTCTATATCACTACTGATTTTTTGTCTATTTGTTCTATCAGCTATTGAAAGAAGTGTGTTAAAGTCTTTCATTATGGTTGTGGAGATGCTAATTCTGTCAGTTTCTGCTTTATAGTTTTGTTTTTTTTTAATTTTTTTAATTTAAAAAATTTTTTAAATATATCTTTATTGATTTCAGAGAGAGGAAAGGAGAGGGAGAGAGAGAGACAGAAACATCAATGATGAGAGAGTCATTGATCGAACCCACAACTCGGGCATGTGCCCTGACTGGGAATCGAACCCTGATCGCCTGGATCCTAGGTCAACGCTCAACCGCTGAGCCATGCCCGGCCGGGCTCTGCTTTATAGTTTAAATGTATGTTATTGGGTGCATACAGATTCATGATTGTGGTATCTTTTTCTTGGACTGACTCTTTGATCTTTATAAAATGTCCCTCTCCTGTAATGCTTCTTGCCTTAAGATCTTTGTCTGAAGTTAATATAACACCACCAGCCTTTTGGGTCAGGTTTGCATGGTGTTATCCTTTTGCTTTTAGCTTTTCTATGTCCTTAGATTCAAAGTGTGTCTTTTGTGAACAGTGTATAATTTATTTTTTTAAAATCATTGGACAATACTAGGTATGAAATTCTAAGTTGCGCACTTTGAGGGTGTCATTTCGTTGTCTTCTGGTTTCCATTGTTTCTGCTGAGAAGAGAGGCCTCAGTTTAATTACTGATCCCATGACGAGAAAGTGTATTTTTTCCCTTGGGCTCTCTTTTTTTTCATTACCTTTTTTCCCCCCAGGAATTTGACAATGAGGTGCCTATGTGTTTTAAAAAGTAAACTCCAGAATTTATTGGAATTTCACTAGTTTTTCTATTATCTCTTTCTGTTTCAGGAGCCAATCCAGGGTACTGCACTGCATTTAGTTTTTGGGTTTCTTTAGTCTTCTTTGGTCCTTCCTTGTTTTTCATGACACTGACTGTCTAGAGGAACTGGTCAGGTGATCCTGTGGAATGTCCCACAATCTGGGTTATCTGATACTTTCTTCATGATTAGAGTAGGGTTATGGGATTTTGGAAAGCAATCAGAGGTGAAGTGCTCTTCCCATGTAATTTTGTTTTTATCCTGTGTGAGATTTGCTGAGTTTATTGAATCTACGAGTTGATGTGCTCCTTTAATTTTGGTCATTTGAATGTTGGGAGGAGATACTGTGCCAGGCCCAGACCCTAGGAGGCATCACATATCTCTACTTACCTGTCTTGTGCTAACATGCTGGCCCACAGTGCCTGAGAGACCCACCAAGCAGACCGGAACCCAACCTGCAGCTCGGAGTCAAGCCACTCTGAGCCCAACCTAGATCAAGGGATCCCTAAATGTCCTATAGATGCATGAGCAAGAATAGATAATCACAGTGTAGTCCGCAGAGTATTAGTGTGCTTTACTGTTTGCAGTGGCTGGCTGATGCAGAGCTAGAGCCTCTCGCGGTTCCTTCTTCCTCCGCCTGAGCAGCTGTGTTTGGAGCCTGGTGCTTACGTACCTCTCCCAGGTCACAGGTGTCCTGCCCCATCCCTTTACCTTCTCTTCCCTCCCTCCCTACAACCCAATTTTAAAAACTGCCCCAGGCTCAGAGCCCAGCATTGAGCTCACTTCCCTTCCCCTCAGCAGCATAGGGCTTAAATGGAACAGTGTCGGAAAACTTAAGCACAAGTACATTTTCTGCAGCGAGGAAAATTACAAAAAGAGAAACAGAACAACCCCCAAGAATCTTATTTTTGCAATATGTGAAATGTGGAATGATTTATGTGAACTGCCCAGCTAGCAGTTAATTGTCATGCAGCACAATTATTCCAGGTCATTAAATACAAGACTAATATGTTTTATTTAACAATAATATTAAATTTAATTCATTTATACTTGGACACCCATTGGTAATGTAGTAGGACAACCTGTTCACTCAACAAAAAATATTGAGGGTGTATGTCTGACCACTCTCTGGAGCCTGGCCGGGGCAGGGTAGGAGTGGCGCCACCGGACAGGAGCTGGCTGTGTCCATGTCTCAAGTTGTGAATACTCTGGGCTGGGGTTTCATGGGCTCCTACAGGCCCAGAACCTTTGGAACAGGACAAAGCAGGAGAAGGGGAGGAAGAAGGGGCTCTGTGCGGGATACAATCGTCTGCGTCCCCTGAACTCCAGACACAAAGGGCTCCCCTAAGCCTTTGGCAAAGGAAGGAGTGGGCCTGGCTGCAGGCTGGGAGGAGCCCTAAACCACACCCCAGAGCACCAGAGCCTCCAGTCTTTCTTCTAGAAAGGATTCTTGACCATGTCAGTGGCCGGGGCCTTCAGAGATCGGCTCTCCTTTCTACCTTGAGGAATCTGAGGGGCTGTATGGCCAGGCCCCTCACTCCCTAAAGCTTGTTTTTGTCCCAAACAGAGCCCCAAGGCGCCAGAAACCACCGATGCCCTGCCTCCTGCCCCCTGCCCAGTGCAGGGCCCACAGCAGGAGTCTGATCCAGCACAGGGCCGTGTGGTTCTCCACAAAGAGCCAGGCCCTCACAGCGGACTGCGGGAGAGGCTCAGGACAGGCTGCTTCATGGTTTTCTGTCCTTGCTGGTGCAGGGCCTCGCTAGGGCAGAGCTCCGCTGAAAGTCATGATGGGCAGGCAGAGGAGGGAGCAGAGGTCCGGTGGGGCCTGGGCCAGTGGGTGGGGTGACCTCTGGGGTTGGGGGCAGAGGTTGCTCTTCTCTGGCTTGTAGCAAGGTGAGACCTCACACCTGTGGGGCAGGGAGGGAGAAAGGACAGGCCTCACATCCCTCCAGCGACTTCCAGGCCTCTGGGTGGGAATGTACAGAAACTGACCCCTTCCCTCAACCTCCCTCAGCTGAAGCAGAGCTAGGGCCCCCTTTCCTACCTGACCACACTCTGTAGGATCTTCCTCTCATCTTGGTCCAGACACACTGCAAAGGGGCAGCTTCTGGAGCCGATAATCTGTACCTTGTCCACTTTGATCTGCGAGGTGCTGATCTAGAAGGAAGGCCCAGGTCAGGCCCAGAGCCCTGGCCACAGAGATCCCAGCCCTCCGCAGTTCCTTCCCTGGGAACTGTCCAACCAGTTCTGGGGCAGGGGTAGGGGTGGGAGTGTGTCTGGCAGCGCTTTAAGGCTACTGGCCAGCTCAGGGGAGGGGCTCTGAGGACTCTATCAGGCCCTGGCCCTTCTCCAGTCTCTGCCCTTTCCTGAGTCTGGAAGAAGCAAGTGCCTTCCGAGGAGAAGCCGAGCTGCTCCCTGCCCTCCCTGGGAGGACCCTGGGGCTCCGACACAGCCGCTCTGCCCAGGCTTAGGGCGGAACCCTTCCAGTAACAAATCCTCTCACAGAGGACCCCTTCCTCCTAACGACCCACAGCACTCCACATGTGTGTGCACCCCAAACCACACCCCTCACCTGCCTCTCCTCCCACCCACAGCCCCCGACGGCCCTGGACACCCTTCCTCTCTCATACACACACATGCACGTGTGCACACACACACACAGGTGCATGCACACCCCCTGTACGCCTCCCGAGAGTGAGGCTTCAAGGGGAGGGAACCCTTACCTGGTTAAAGCCTTTCTTGGATTTGGGGTTTTGCCTCTTCACCACTTCCGTCAGGTTTAGAGTCAGGGCCTCTATGCCGGAGTCTGCAGGGCAGGGGCGCTCAGGCCAGGCTTAGAAATCCTCCCTGCCACCCCCGCGCCGTGCCCTGCCCACCCGCTAACCTAGCTCCTCCTGCTTCCGGCAGGCCTTGTTGAGGTTGATGGAGGTGCAGACCTTCTCCATGTTGCTCCAGCGACTTCGCCCACTGATGGCCCCCTGGGAAGGCAGCAAAGCCAGATCCTCTCAGCTTGGAGGCCCCGGTGCCTGCTACCCTCCCTCCTAAGAGGAGGCCCAGATCACCAGTGACAGGGAGCTGCCTGTCGTCAGCACGCCCAGGAAGTCTCTCATTCACCCAGGTCTGCCATCTCCTTCACTAAGAGCCCCTGACCCCTGTATAGACCTTGGTGACTCTGGGGAGGGGTGTCATGTCACTGGCTTGGTCCATGGGTAAGCCTTGTGACCAGTCCATAGGACACAAATGCTGAGAGCACCTCAAGGGGTGGTCTTGATGATCTCCCGCTGAGCCCAGACGGAGGAAGAGAGGGGCCCACAGGCCTGGAGTTCCTGGCAGAGCCAGTCCGGATACCCCCTTTCATTGGGGATCTCCATGTTGCCAAACCCAAGAGTGTTTCTCAGTCCTTGGGCAGTCCCAAGGTCAGCTCATTTGACCTTACAGGAGAATCTGATTCTGTTCACCCCTCTCCTCTCCGGGGCTTTTGGGACGGCATACTCCTGGTTCTCTACCTTCCTGGTTGGGCCTCAGCCTGCAGTCACACGTCACAGGTCTCAGGACCTTCTCCTGCTCTTTGCACTCCTACTTTCTCCATTAGGGAGCCTCGACCACCTATACACCCATCCTCATGTTTCACGTCTGAGTTCAGGCCCATCCATCCAACTATTCTGACTTCTTCCTGCTACCTCTCAAGGGCACTGCAGACTCACATGTCCCACATTCATGATCTGTCCCTACCGGACCTGGGCTGCTTCTTAGAAAACTGTGCTATTAGTCTCAGAAGACTGAAATCCAGGAGTCTGGGCTTCTCCTTTTCCAACCCATCCCTAAGCCCTGCTGCTCACATAATCCACATGTAGCTCCCACTTCTTTCCATCTCCACCACCAGCCTAGTGCTGGCTGCCCGCATTTCTCTCCTGGAAAACCACCAGAGCCTTGCTATGTCCCCTGGGGACCCCTCCAATCTGTTCTCCACAGAGCTGCAGAGGGAGCTTCCAAACCTCAAATCTGATCATGTCACACGCATTCCCAGCACCACCCCAAACTTAAACCCCTTCAAGGGACGCCCATTGCTCTCAGGACAGGACAGAACTCCCCTCATTACAATCAAGACCCTTGGTGTTCCGGCCCCGCCTATCTCTTTAGCCTCACTTCGTCGCCCTTAACGTTCATGTTCTTCCACCACGGGGCCTTTGAACATGCTGTTTCCTCTGTCTGGAGAATACAGCCCTCTCTTTTTAGCTTAACTAACTCCTGGTTTTCTTTCCAATAGTGACTCAATGTCGCTTCTCCAGGAAGCCTAGCCTAACTTTCCTGACTGGGTTGAATAATCCCCTTAGAGGTTCTCACAGTACCATGTACCTCTCCTTCATCTGATGGTCACAGTTGTAATTACACATCTGTGGGTTCATCTTGCCAAGGCCTACCATCCGCCCTAGGCTGTAAGCATTTTGTTCACTCTTGAGAACACACCTGTGCCCAGAACCACGTCTGGGACACGGTAGGTGTTAATAGACACCTGGCTCACAGCTCTCAGGCTCAGTCCTCCTGCCCACCTCCATGGCCACCAAATGTAAAGTAGCCCATCATCACCATCCCATCAGCCCTCTGATTGCCTCGCCATCACTCACCACTCTGAAGTTATCTTGGTCATTTCCTTGTTTCCTTGCTCCTTACCTGTCTCCTCTAAGAAAGCTAGAGAAGGCCCAGTCCTCCCTGCTTACAGGTTTCCCCTTGCCTGGCACAGAGCCTGGCAGGAGTAGGTGCTCAATGACAATCTTTTGAATGGTTGAAGGAAGGAAGAAAGAAAAGAAGGCAGGAGGGTTCCTCATTGATGAGGTCAAGCCTCTTGTGGCCTGTGCCCCAGGGTGTGACATGCTCAGAGACTCGTGCCCTCTGGTGTGCTCATGGGCACCCCCTCCCACCTCAAACATCTCCTCAGTGCCTCACGCCATCCCACCTCCCACGCCAGGCACACCAGCCACAGACCGTGGCCTCTCCCTCACTGTGCCTCTGGAGCCCCACACTTGACCACTCTCCACCCTAGTCCAGTATCCAGGCCCTGCAACTTCATGGAAGCTGCTGAGCACACTCGGGTGGGGGGAGAACACACGGGTGGGAGGCCTTCTGCGGCCTCCAGCTTAAAAACTGGGGCCCAGGAACCCGAGTCTGGCTCTGGGTGAGGAGGATCAGGAGCAGATCCCAGAAGGACCTGGGCCCTAGCATGGGTCTTACCTTGCTGTAAATAATCTGTAGTGTTAGCGGGACGGCCTCCCGGTCCCCATCAATGCCCAGCCTCTTGCTGCCGGGACCTGTGCCACACACAGACAGACCCTTCACTTAGTGCCACTTACAGACCCTGGGGCTCTTCTTCCCTCCCAACCCCCACTCATCACCGCTGGCCCTGCTTTCCGGTGACCCTGACTCCCAGGTCCCTGCCTCCTGGGGCCCCATTCACCAGGTCCCTGCCTCCTGGGGCCCCATTCACCAGGGCTCTGCCTCCTGGGGCCCCACCTCCTCACCCGGCTACCTGTCTCCACGGGACCTAGGCAGCACTCACCTGAAGCCTTGATGGCTCGTGTGGCAGCAGAGTGACCCAGCTCCAGGGAATGAATGAAGATCTCCGATGTCTTCTCCCCGGTGATGAAGGTCAGCTGGAGAGGGCAAGACCAGGGCATCAGTGTGGGTCTCCTGTAGGGGGACCCACCAGGCTCCTCCGGCACAGGGCTAGGGGCTACCATGGGGTGGGGACAGGACCTACAGGCCCACCAGGGCACAGCTGGGACCCGGCGATGGTGAGGGGGCCTGGCAGTGAGGCTCGGGCGGCAAGGCACATTACCTCTGTCTGATACACCTGCAGCAGCACCGGCCTTGCGGCGAAGCGGCAATAGTAGAGCAGCATGTCAGCCAGGATGGGCAGCTGGCTGGGGGAGCCCTCCAGGGGTCGGGAGTCCACCTTCAGGGACTGCTGCTGGGTAGGGGGAGCCCAACCCAGAGGGACCGGTGGACAGAGAGCGAGAGGAAGGGAAGGTGAGAGGAAGAGAGGCCGCGGAACACACACACATGCGGAGAAGAGATGCAGAGGAGAGAGCCAGGGAGGGGATAGTGAGACGAAAGCAGGAAACAGGATGGTCAGGGGAGGACCCACAGCTCAGTCTCCATACCTCTCCCTGACCTGGCACCTGGGCCTCGAGGAAGGCCCCTGGCAGAGCTGGACAAAGCTGAGCTGAGGATGGGGGCTGAGGCCTAAGGTCCCTGGATCCTTCTGAGGACCCTCCTGTCACTGTAGTGAATCCCCTCCTTGCCCACATTGCCCTGCATTCAGGTTCAGTTCTCCTTCTCATCTACTCTCTCTGCTCGTTTCCAAGTGTGCCTGGTCCTCCGTGGAATCCTCAAGCTGGACCTCCCCAAACCAGGGCCTTCTGGGTTAGGCTGGGCGACTGCAGCCTGGGTCACTCTTCTCTCCCCAGGGCCACTTACCTGGCACAGGACTTCAGGGGGCAGGTGCATGAGGCCCAGCACGTTGCGTTCATACCAGGGGTCGAGCATGCCGAGGTAGTGGGAGATATCATTGGTGCTCTCCTCCCACTGGGCCGGGCCCAGCTCCTGAGGCAAGGGGTGACAGTCATTCCCAGAGACCCAGGAGGCCTGCCATCATAGCTGGAGGGCCCTGGGTGGCCCCGCAGCCCTAATCTGAGTTTCCCCCTGCCCTTGGACAAGTCTGACAACTTTCAGTCTGTGTCATACAGCAAAAATGCCACCCCCAAGTGCAGGGCAGGGAGTGAGGGCCAGGTGGGAGGAGGTGTCCTACAAACACAAGTGACTGCTTTTGGTGACTTCCAACCAGCCCTTCAGGTACCTGGAACCTGCTCGTGTCTACTCTACTTTCCCACCCGATTTGGTCCAGGGCTGGGAACATACTGCAGGGCTGGGGTGCCTCGGGGAGTCTGGGGGCAGTAGGGGTGTCTGGCTCAGAGTGGCTGGGGTGCTGGAGCTGGTGCCCTGGCTCCGCTTCACGGGCACATAGAAGAACTGTAGCTTGAAGAACCGAGAGAGGAGCGGGCGATTGCTCTCCAGCTGCCTGGCAACAGAAGATGGAGAAGGGCTCCTGGGTCCCGGTCAGACCTAAGCCTCAAGCCTCAGATGCCACCAGCACCCCCCTCCCCCGCTACCCAGGGCCGAGAGGTGCACCCAGCCCAGCTCTTACCGCAGGTTGCTGTACGCCCGAGCTACCTTCCCTGAAATGCGATCGGAGCCGAAGACCACAACGCGGAGTGTGGAGGCCTTGGGGTCTTCGTCCCCACTCAGGAAGGGGCGGCGGCGCTGGTGGCGGGAGGCGGGGGCCAGGAGCCAGCTGGGCAGCTGGGTGCTGAGCTTGGGCTGGGGCAGGGAGCGGGAGCGCTGGGCCCGGGCTGGGGGCAGCGCCGGGCTGCCCAGGGGGCTGCAGAGGCTCCCGGCCCGCCGCAGGGGCGGCGCAGTGTCCGAGCTGCCCTCCAGGCCCCGAGAGTCCCTCCGCAGCACCAGCTGGCTGGTGCTCTTGAAGAGTTTATAGATCCTGTTAAACTTCTGCCCGGGCCTGCGGTGGCCCCGGCGCTCCTGGCTGCCGGGCCTCCTGGGCCACTCGGGGGAGCTCTCCTCGCTGTCCTCCACGTAGCCGCTGTCCACGCCGTCCGAGAGCCCCGAGACGAAGGAGGTCAGCAGCTGGCGGGAGAGGGTGGACCCGGAGGCCTGGGACGAGGCGAGGGACAGGGCGGAGTCCCGGGAGGCCTCGGAGCTGGTGGAAAGCAGTGAGTCCCTCTTGGCACACTGCGCGTCCGTTTCCAAGTCCTCTTCCTCCCCCTCCTCCTCCTCTTCCTCCTCCTCATCGTCGTAGTCGTCCCCCAGGAGCCCCGGCTGCAGCAGCTCCTGTTCCTTGAGCAGGATCTCCTGCAGGACATCTGCACGGAAGCAAGGGAGGCACCTCTGGGCACCTGGCCTCGGAGACCCCTCTCACTCAGCTTTGGGAGGGTGGCAGGTCCAGGCAGAATGGACTCGGGGGGAAGAGGGCAGGGGGGCCACGGCCAGCCCAGGGCTCCAAGCGCCACCCTCTGCTCTGCCCAGGGCCTGCTCAGCTGGGAGAGCTGCCGGGGAGTGGGGGCTGCTGCACGGGCCGGGCAGTTTGGGGGGTGGGCACCACAAGGGCCGCCAGCCTGCCGCTTACCAAAGCTGTCCTGGTTCCAGCTGTAGGTGTAGCACCTGGCCACAGGGATGGGAATGGTGCGCAGCTTGCAGGGCTTGGCAGTATCTGTAAGAACAGGGTGGGCGGAGGGTGAGGCCTGGGAAGGAGCCTTGAGATTGGCCAGCCCAGTTCCTTCGCCTTAGAGAAGAGAGCAGAGTGGGAGAGGACGGGCCCCGGGCCACGAAGCTGGGGTGCCGGGCTCGCAGCCAGAGGGCCTTCTTTCAAGGGCACCGTGGGGGTGCCCTTTTAGAAGCTGTGTCACTGTGGCAAAGTCACATTTTACAGGGTCCAAGCAGGAAAACAGGGCACTATCTCTAGAGGTGTTGTGAGGATATTGTGCCCCTTTTCTTTGGTAACAGAGTTGTGGAGAGGAAATTCCCAGGCTCCTTGGGGTGAAGTGTGACCCTGTGACTAAAGTGAGCCAAGGTGACACATGTAGATGTCCCACGTGAAACTTCCATATTATCTTCAGTGTAAAAAAAAAGGCCTTTGCCCATGATGAGCACCCGCTTCTCCCCTTCCCACAAGCCCCCATATGATGGCAACCCAGCCTTAACCTGTAGGCAGGAGCCATGCACCAGGGATGGTGGAGCAAGGTGATGAGAAGCATGGGTCCCTGAGTGACCGTGTGGAGCAGAACCACGAGGCTGACCTGGACAGCTCACCGCGGGAGCCAGAGCAGATGATGGGGGAAGTGGGCCCCCCTACCCCAGGAGCCTCACCTAAGACATCAGGGAAGCCAGCTTTCTCTCCCACGGCCTTCAGCTTGGCCCTGAGCCACCTCCGGGCCTCGGCCGCATCCCCGATGCCAGATGCCAGCTCCTGTGCCTCTGCAGTCTCCGTGAAGATATCCTCGAGCTCTGCCAGGGTCTTGGACTGAAATCCCAGGAGGAGAAAGGCTTGCTCCTTTACCATCGCCTGGCTGCCTGGCTCCACTTCCCAGGGTCTTACTGAGAGCAGCAGGGAGCAGTCCCCTTCCCAGCCTCATCACCCATCTCTACCCACAGACCAGGGAGCCAGGCCTGCCTCCAACCCCCTAGCTCAGGAAATGGTCATGAGAGGAAGGTTCAGAGCCAGAGCACTGCAGAGTTGGGAGGGACTTCAGAGGTCACCACTGCAGCCCAGAGAGGGAAAAGGGCTGTTCAGGGCCACACAGCTGACATGTCACAAGGTGAGGACCAGAAACCTGGTCTTCCAGCTTCAGTCTAAATCTCCTTCCTCTGAGGCTGTGCCCACCCACCCTGGTCAGGACCAGCACAACAGAAACCCTCTTGACAAGGCCAGCTCTCCAACCACTGCCTGCCATGCCCTTGGGGTGAGGGAGGCCAGTGTACCCTGGAGACTGCAGCACTAAGACGCAGCAGAGAGGAGACCCTGCCTCTCCAGAGAGGCATTCTGCTAGAAGGGGGCAGTGTTAAGCCCAGGCCCCAGACACATACCTGCAGCCTACTGTGCAGACCTGGGAGGTCACAGTGGGCCCCAAAGGTGGCCTGGAAGGCATGCAGGAGCAGGGTGATGTAGGCGCTATGCGGTGAGTGCCCGGGCGTGCTCAGCTTGTTGGCCACGGCGAGGAACTCTGCCTGCACCTCCACCGGGTTCAGCAGCAGTACGGTGCTGGGGATACAGAGGATGGCTGTGGGCACTGGGGGCACAGCCACACACCTCGCACTGGGGCCGAGTCCCGCTGAGCCCAGGCGTCCTCTCAGCCCAGGCAGGGCCTGTGGCCCAGAGAGAGGCGGGGGCTCAACGGTCCTGGTTTCAAGAGGGAAGTTTATGGTCTACTTTTTAAAAATATATATATTTTTATTGATTTCAGAGAGAGGAAGGGGAGAGAGAGATAGAAACACCAATGGTGAGTCACTGATCGGCTGCCTCCTGCACGCCTCCTACTGGGGATTAAGCCCGAAACCCAGGCATGTGCCCTGACAGGGGAATTACACTGCGACCTCCTAGATCCTAGGTCGATGCTCAACCGCTGAGCCACGCCGGCTGAGCTATGGTCTACTTTTGAGTATTTTTCACCCAGTGTTTTCAAAGACCTTTTAAAAACTGTACTTAATTTTAAAAAATAAATTTTACCTTAATTTTTATATAAACATTTTTTTTCTACAGGACATCCAAATGGATATAAGATTACTCAAAAGAGGACTGTATTTTAGATGAGGTGACTTGAAGCCAGGTGATGATTTTGGGGAGGGGGAAGCAGGCACACATATGTTGTGGTATAGAGGGGCTGCAATTCCAGCCCATGCCCCCCTGCTCCTCAAGCTGAAGGTGTGGTGTGGGGTGGCGTCTGCCAGGAGGAAGGGAGGCCATGTCAGGGCTGCATCTCAGTCCTCCACCCCCAGGGAACCCTTTTCTAACGTGCCCAAGCCATCACACAGGCCAGCGTTGGGCTGGGGAGGAGTGTGCGCCCAGCCACCTCCGCCTCTCCTCCTGCTCCACCCTGGGCTCCTCCTTGGTGCCAGTGCTGACATTTGTTCATTATGAAAATTTCAAGCATACACAAATGTTAAGAGAATCATGAACTCTGGGGGTGTCAATCACTCAGTTAATGGTTAACAACACAGGACTGTTCTCACTTCGCCCACGCGGACCCTCATCTCTGCATTTTCTCGAAGTGTGCTAGAGCCATCGTGGTGTTATTAGACCTGTAAATGCCTTAGTGTGCATCGCTCACATTAAATGCCTTAGTGTGCATCTCATGCTCTCAAATCTGTGCTGTGTTTACACTCAGCACAAAGCAGCACCAGGCAGGTGGCCTTCTCTCCAGTCTCTGTAGACATCTGTCCTCGAGCTGGGCCCTGGGCTCAGGACCAGGCTCTGTCAGAAGCAACATCATTTGGGGAGAGATTATTTTTTGCTTCTCTATTTGTAAGAAAAAGGAGGCAGGCTCACCCAAGCAGCCCCTAAATGAGCCCCTCCCCTCTCCTGAGGGCTTGATCATTCCTTCCAGGGATGTGCGCTGAGCCCCGCTGTGTGCAGGACGGGCCCAGCCACGCCTGTGCCTTGCCACCTGCGCGATGCCTTGCTATCATTCCCATCTTACAGAAAACAGAAGCGAGGCCATCTCTCAGCCTGAGACCTTCTACTAACCTCTCTGCACCTCAGTTCCCTGACCTTAGAAATACCTTTTCCATAAGGTTAACATGAGGATTGGAGGAAGCAGCGATGCTGCCCGAAGCTCAGTAAGTGCCGGGCAGACGATGGTGAACATTCACCAGCCACCTGCCTCAGCTCCAGGAGGTGGCTTATTTACTTACTAAACTAGCATTTACTAAACACTTCTATGCCTTTCTGTCTCTCTTGAAACCTACCACTGGCTTTTTTGTTGCCGAGGAGGGCCTCAACAAATGTTTGCTCAGCGGGGTGAATGTGCAGTGACCCCCTGGGGCAGAGGATGGGGCGGGACTGGGGTGACTACAATTGCTGCTGGTGGAGGCTCAAGTGTCTGGGCTCCCAGGTGTCTAAATGAGGCCGCACCCACCCCTGGAGACCTGCTGGAGGGCCCTCAGAATGGAGGCTTCTTTTCTAGTGTTTGTCAGACTGCGGGCTGGGACCCGTGAGCGGGCAATGAAATCACTTTGGGGAGTCACAACCAGAACCGCCTTTTAAATGAAATGAACTAGAATGGGACAGAGCCCATCCTATGAGGTAAGGGTAAGTTTCGTTTCATGAAACTGGTTTCAGCTCTGTGTGTGTGTGTGTGTGTATGTGCTCACGTACGCATGCCAGGCTGTTGTATAAAATTAATTTTTTATTGTATATTCTGGTGAAAAACAGTTTGGAAAATGCTGTTTTAGTAAGAGGCAGAAAGACACGTGGAAAGAGCATGGGATTTTGACTAAGACTGAGGTTCAAATCCTGGCTCGGACGCTTACTAGCTGTGTGACCTTGGGGAAGTTATTTGGCCTCTCTGACCTCCAGTTTCCTCATCTGAAAAGTGGGGTAAAGTGAGGTAATGTCTGCCCAGCACCTGGCATGATCAATGCAGCGGATTCTTAACCTTTTTATTTTTTAAGTCTCAGACCTGTTTCGGAATCTGATGAAGGACCCTCAGCCCAGGAAAGTGGCTCTGTGCACAAAACATCACCAGCAATTCAAGGGTTCCCGGTCTAAGCCTGTCTGTGGGTGGCCTGGGTGGGAGGGGTGCAGTGAGAGGGAACACAGGATGCAGGGGTGGGGTGGTGTAGAAATGGTGTAACAGTGGGGGTGCAGTCCCATCCCTATCCCCACCCCACACGATTTCTCCCTCCCCAAGAGCACTCACACAGTGGAGCTGCGGTGATTCCGAATGGGCAGGCCCTGCTCAGCCCTCACCAGTCGCTGGTAGGAGATTCCTGTGGCCGAGGGGGGGAAAAAAAGAATAGAGTTCCTGGGTTTACCTGTTCCTTCAGCACCCCTGGCCTATGGTGCAGTGAGCAGGCTCGGACGGTGAGGCTGGAGTTCCTGGGTGAGGTCAGGACAAGGGGCCCTTTTCTTTTACTCTGTAATGTTTTTAATGGGGAACCCACACCCCATGGACTCACGGCTTCAGCTCCCCTTCTACCTCTAGTGACGGCCGAGCTGGCCACACAGCTGGGAGGGGGCAGCAGCCGGCAAGATCACTCTCCCTCCACATCAGGCTTCCTCCCAAATGCGCACCATCAACCATCTGCTTCTGAGCCCACTGCCCTCCTGAAGCTGCCCCCCTGAAGTCACAGAGCCCAGTGCCTCAACCTCATCAGCATTCCCCTTGAGTTGCCTTTTTTTGAGTCTTTGATCCTGCTGAGCACTTTCGCCTTGAAACTCGCTCTCCATCAGTCTCCACGACAAGGAACATTCTGTCACATCTTCTATTTCTCTACTTGCTTATACCTTAGGCACCTTAATGGTCTCACGTGGGGATCGCGGCGCAGTTGGAGCTGGGAGCTGCTTCCTATCAGCTATGCCGACTCCGTGTAACCTTGCTGTAGGCCTGATTTTGCTGTTGGGGGACTTTCAGGAGGACATCTGTGACCCTTGGCACACCCTCAGCCAGAGGGAGTTACTTCCGGAGCTGAGTATCCTAGATACCAACCGTCCCCAAGTGAAGCACAGAGAGTCAGATGAAACTCCCCCCCTCGAGCCCCACAAAGACATTTAAAAAAAAAATCTGGTAGAAGGCAATCCAGGGTTGTCACAGTGGTCCCACAAACATTCCGGGCCAGGTTTCTCCTGTCTTTCTTCTCCAGCATCCTTGGTGGGAGACATGGTCCTCAAGGTTGTTTCATTGTCTAAGACGGCTGCTGGAGCACCGGCCATCATGTCCTCATTCCAGTTAAAAGATGGGGGGAAGTGAGGGGGGTGCAAAAAGTTTAAGCCACTATTACTGTAGGCTTTCATTTATAGGCTCCATCCTAGCTAATTACACCTGTGATCTCTGGAACATCTGCCCTCCACTCCTTCCCCCAAGTCTCTCCCTATAATATCGTGATATAAGAAGAAATACATATTTGTATTTATTTGTATATATAAATATTCATCTCCAGTTCCTGAGACAGTGCTCCTAAAATCTTTTAATTTCCTGAGTGTGGGGTGAGAGGAGCATCTTTTACTATTTATAACAAGCTCCTTTAACTGGACCTGAGTTTATGCTAATGAGGTGACTCTTGGTGGGTCCCTAGACAGCTTCCAGCTCGGGGCTGGTTGCCCTATGGAACCAACCATGTGATTGATTAGAGGGTTAGAACTTTCAGCCCTCCCCCAGCAACCTTCAGGATGTGGAAAGGGGCTGGAGACTGAGTTAATCATCAATAGCCAGAAGGGTGGTGCACCGCAACTCCACAGGGACAGAAGCTCCTACACTCAGGACCCTTCCAGACCTCACCCTACGTGTATCTTCATCTGTATCCTTTATAATAAACTAGTAAATGTAAGTAAAGTGCTTTCCTGAGTTCTTCAACCTGCTTTAGCAAATTAATGACCCTGAGGAGGGAGTTATGGGAACCCCTGATTTGTAGCTGGTTGGTCAAAAGTAAGAGACACCTGGGCTTGTGACTGGGCAGTCTTGTGGGACTGAGCCCTTAACCTGTGGGGTCTGCACTGACTCCACGTAGTCAGTGTCAGAACTGAAATGAATCACTGCACACTCAGCTGGTGTCTGGAGAGTTGAAGAATTGGTTGGTGTGGTGGGGAAACTCCCATGCATCTGGTGTCAAGAGTGTTCTGTGAGTAAAAACAGCACAGACCCTCTCCTACTAGGCAGTGTTGGTTGACTTTCCTTTAAGGGGTCTAAATCTTTCATCCCATAATCAGAGACAAAAAGTAGGAGATGCAAATGTTTATGATCAGTAATGTCCCAAGAGAAACTTATTGCCACTGAAGATATTCACAGTCCACCTGCCACCAGTTGATAGGCAGAACTGACCTCACCCATGTTTGTTCCTGATTGACAGGAGGTCCAAGGGTGGGAAGGCACTAAGTGAAAGGAAAGGGGCAGGAGAAATTGCCCAAGGGCAGAAAGTGCTTGGGATCCAGGATGGCCCAGGGTCTTTCAGTCATGCAGTCACCTGCCTGGGTCTTTACGTAGAAACAAAGCATTATGCAATGTGAGAATGTAGTTTTTTGACTCAAGCAGACATGGGTTCAAGTGGTAGAGCTCTTGGTAGCTATGTGACGAAGGCAAGCTACTTAATTGTCTAGCCTTCAGTTTCATCATCTGAAAGATGGAAATACTAGTAACTGTCCAGGGCTCTGTCTGAGGATAGATGGGACTGACTCTCAGTATTTAATGCACCATAAGCACACAGGTAACTCAGCCAGTGCCACCACCACCACCACCATCATCATCGTCATCAACAACAATTACAGTCCTGCTTTTAACAAGGAGACCTGTCTCAGGTCATCAACTAATAAGTGACAAAGCATAGGTCTTTGACATACCAAGGCCCATGTTTCTTCTCTTACCCTTGACTTTACAGCTTGGGCAAGAACCACCAAACTCCTCTGAGTTGTGGTTGCTTCATGTAGAAAATGGGGACAATGTCATTTTTCCATTTCATTTCATCAGGCTATGGTCTGGGTGGCATGCAATCATTGAGGCTGGTGCACTTCGAGTGACTCACACATATGATGTCCACTGCCACCCCTCAGAATTATAGATAAATTCTTTGCAGTCAAGTATTGTGGTCACACAGCCATGCGGTCATGAAGTAAATATTCAACAAACATGTGGGCTTAACCTAAGAGGGCTGTGGTGGGCAGGACCTGGTGGCACTGACGTGAGGTTTCCTGCCACCCCCAGAGTGGAGGCCGTAGACACCCTATTGGGGGTGGAGTCAGGAAGAAGGGGGAGGCCCGAAGGCTTCATAACCTGCCCGCTTCCTCTGCTACCCAACCACATCAAAGTGGAGTAAACTGTTTCATTCATCTCCATGGCAACTGGCTCCCCAAGGCTCCTTGGGTGGAGGGCCAGCTCTTCAGGTTCCTTGTCATCTTCTCCCTATGATCTTGCCAGGACCTCTCTCTCTTAAGCTAACACACCCCAAACCCTACTGCCCAAGCAATGTGCAACCAATATAGGTCAGCATTTATCCTCACAAACTGCTCTGTCATGGAGATCTTTTTATACTGTGATTTTATAGATGAGGAAACTGAGGCTCCTATAAATAAAATGTCTTGCCAACAGCCCCACAGCTCCAGAATTTGAAACCACAGGTCTGACACCTAGTATTGGTAACCGATAAGTGATGGGCCTCAGCCTCTCCTCCCGAGCTCACTCGCCGGCCTCCACTCCAGCCCCTCCCTGCCTCCTCCCATCGCCACCCTCAGCGGGGCTTCCTAGGGGTGGGGCACCCGGCAATAACTCACAAACAGAACCACAGGCCTCGAAAAGTCACACTAAAGCATTTTCTGACAAGTCCACCCAAGGCTCCTGCAGATGAGGGTGGTTTTGTTTAACTTGCTACTTGCTGCTGATGAGGGCTCCGGTTCTGTGAAATCAGAGGTTAACTTGAGGACGTGAGATGAGTGTGTTCTGTTCCACACAAAAGATCCCCTCAAGGGTTACGGTCTTATTCTCCTCCGTGGTATTAACTAATTTTATATCTAATTTCGCAGCCTTGTTCTAGGTTACATGAGAAACTTGGTTCAGCTTCTTACACCCTCCTCTACACCAGCTCTGTCATCTTGCTGGTTCCCTCGGTAACAAGAGGAACACATCTGTGACATGGGCTCGCTACGCGCTTGAATGAGAGTTCGTTTTTTTCATTGTTTGGGGACAACTCTGTGACATGAGAAAGAGATGGTTTCCTGTTTCAGTTCTGCTTTCCCTGGAAGAGAAGTTCTTAGCACGGGCAGCCGGCCCGAGGATCCCTCTCCACCCGTCTGCCTTCTCCTAGGTCAACAGCATACCTGAGGCCTCATGGGGTCCCCCGGGCCAATGTCCAGGGGCAGGCCCTCAGCAGTGAGAGGCAAGAGCTCCAAGGGTCCTCCCTGCTCTGAGGCGCTGCTCTGCCTGGCCCTGGCCCCCAGGCTTAGAACCCCGCGTTCCAGCGTCTGGGCCTCGCCACAGCCCGCCCCTCGGCTCCACATCTGCTCGCCGGGCGGCCCCGGGGCACAGCTCCTGCTCAGCTGTCCCCAGAACACCTCCAGGCGCGGCGTGCATGCAGAGGGGAGCCAGCTGGTTCCTTGAAATTGGGAAGCGGTCTCCACACACGCAGGTGACAGCCCTCCCCCAGCCCAGCATCTCCTTCAGCCATTTCAAAGTAAGAAAGAGCAGTTTAAATCTCTGGTATAGACTGAAGGCCCTGCCGAGGCATCTGCAATGAAATCTTTTCTGTCTAAATTATAAACAGAAAGAAAACTCTGCATTCTTGTTAAAGGAATTCTGGTCACCAGCAAGAAGCCCAGAAGTGATCTAGATCTACTTGTTTCAGGGGGCAGGGGGAAGGATGGGAATGGAAAAGATTAACCTCAACTCGTCTGTTCATTCAGGCCTCGGGAAGTTAGGTTGACAGTTTCTCGATTCATCATGTGCCCAAGCACCTTTCCCACTGCCTTCTCCTCGGGGTCTTCCTGATTTCTTAACTCTTCCACCCATGTCTCTCCCATAAGGTGAGGCCCATGTCAGAGGTAGACTCGGGTGACGGCCAGCCTCAGCCTGTGACTGCTCTGCTCTCTTGTAACAACACACAGCTGACTGGCTGGGGGCAGACAGGTCTGATGACTGGCTGGGGGAGGGAGTCTGAACCCCTCAAAGGACTCTGCAGACAGAGTGCCTCTCCTGAGCTTCCTGGGGTTCACGGATTGTTGGGGAATAGGACTTGGTACTTCTGTGTGTGTTTAATGTGCACAGCGAGAATTAAACACTGTCAGTACTAAATAGGGCTTTTAAATCTTTTAAATATAGATTTAAAAGAAAAAAATGGGATTACAACATACACAGTATTTGGGGGCCTGCTTTTTTAAAACTCAAGTTACTCAACATCTTTTGAACTTGGTCATTGTATTTCTATATCATTTTTAATGATGAACTAGCATTCCACAAAACGGCGTGCTACTCAACCACGTTCAATATTTAGGTTTTGGGAAATTGGTAGATTATTATAAAGAATGCATCAGTGAACATCCTTGTGGGAGATTCGTTGTATATCCATGATTGTTCAAATTTCTAGGAACAGAAATGCTGGGTGAAAGGATATTCTCTTTAATGTTTTAGAGAACACAGCCCCCTTTTCCAGACCAATACTGGTATTTTAAAAAAAAAATTGCCAATTTGTTAGTGGGAAAATGGTGTTTCACTGTTAAGTTTTGCATTTTCTTTATTACTAGTGAGGGCGAATGTTTTTGGGGGAGGTGTTCCTTTTTTCCCCATGACTCATTTGTACCACTTTGTTACATAATACATTTTTTTACTATTTCATTTGTTTCTACCTATTTTATTTTGTGTCAATATTTATGTATTCTTTTACCAATAGTGTATGATTTTAATAGCTATATATAGCCTTAGAGTACCTTCAAAGACCTAGTAAGGAAATAGCCATCCTCACTCTTTAAGAATACATAAATATATAATAAATGCATAGATAAATGCTATTGTAGAGCACTTCTTTCAGATAGACTTTATCTAGTTTGTTGAATTTTAAAAGATGTTGACATTTTGATCATGGTAACATATATTTCTATAACACCTGATGTTACTACAATATTGACTCAGTCTAGCAACATGTCTTTTAAATTATTTATCCTTCAGTTAAATTTGTTTTCTCTATGTAGGTTAGTTGCATTTATTTTATATTTGTAGTTGCTATTAAAAATTGTGGGGTTTTTTTTCATATGTCTTCTTACTGGTTAATATCATTATATGGCAAAGCTCTTAGCTTCCTGTTTACTAATCTGACAGTTCTTCCAGTGATCCTGTCAGTCTTGATAAATAAGCAATTGTTTGATTTCTATCTATTAAAATTTTACCTTCTCTGGAAGAGGAAATATTGTTCTTTTTTTTGCATAAGCAAAATACTTGTAAGTATGAAAAGATCACTGACTTCAATGGAAATGCCCCTACTATTTCACTGTGGATTGCTACCTTGTTAAGAACACTTCCGTATATTAATAGTTTTCGTATATTAGAGGGGTTTTAAATATCAGAAATGGATGTTGAATTTTATCAAATGTTTTAGAGGCACCTATTCAGGTGCCTTTAAAGTCACCTATTCAGGTGACTTTATTCCTTTGAGTTACTGATGTGATGAGCTACTCTAATATCAGGCCACCTCTCAGTAAACCATACTTATGTTTCCTCTTGTTCTACAATAGTTTTCTTCAACCTCATTTTCATGTGTTTTATACCATCTGCAATTTCCCAAGAATTCCTACTTTTCAGGTGCCACATATGAAAATGTCGACAGTACCAGGCCCTTGTCCACGCTCGTCACGGTGCCCATTAACCACCAGCCTGTCCATCCCTACCACCAGCCACCCCCCATGGCCAGAACTGGATCTACCCGCACATACATTTCCCTACTTGCTCCTGACGCAGAGAACAAACGAGGAGCTTGTGTCACTATGGTGGGGGCTTCGCTGTTTGACCTGGGCAGCCTCAGAGACCATTTGCAGAGCAGAGTAGAGGCACAGGCCACAGGGTGGGGTCTCCTTGCCCTGAACCCCTGCTCAGCTTCCCCTAAGAATGCTTCCTTTTTTTTTTTTCTTTTTATCTTTACCCAAGGACTTTTTCTGATTTGGGGGGGGGGCATTTATCGGCTGCCTCCTGTACACCCCTCTCCCTCTCCATTCCAGACACCACGCCAGGAATCAAACCTGCAACCTAGGCATGTGCTCTGACTGGTCATCGAACCCGAGACCTGCCGGTGTACCGGAAAACGCTCCTACCAACTGAGCCACGCTGGCCAGGGCGAGAATTCCTCCTCGAGTTCCTGCCCGCGTTCGCTTTCAGCCATCAGATGCTGGTGCACATACGGCACACACAGCACCACAAGGAGGAGACTCCAAGGCTTTGAAACGGGGCCATGGGCAGACATGAGCTGAAGGATGAGAGGTGAGGGGATCACAGCCAAATAACAGTTCCAGCAGAACCCTGCTCCAGGGGCAAGCGACGCGACACCTACCTGGGGCCTTGAGCTCAGCATCGATGAAGGTGAGCAGCTCCTGGCTGATGCTGCTGTAAGGGACGGGCCAGGTCAGGAACTGGTGGTAGGTTCTGGCTGCTTTCAGAAGGAGATCCGAGTCTGGCGGGAAGTGTGGTGTCTGGAATGGAGAGGGAGGGGCAAGCAGAGGAGTCTGGGTGAGAGAAAGGGCGCTGATATTCCAGAAGGGAGCCTGCTACTTTTCTGGAATGTTCCACAAAGGGCACACACTTCCCGGGAGCAGTATGTCTAAGAACAAGGTCAGGAAGCCCTGGAAGGAACCATCGGGAGGGGGTTACGGATAGGCAGGCGGGCGCCAAGGGATGTCTCTGCGGGAAGGGCCTTGTTTTTACTAAACGCTACAGGACAGCACCTCCCTGAAAGGCTGGAGGTCACCTTAACCGGCGCCGTTGCTGCCTCGCACTTGGGGGGATGGCCTTCGGTGCCTGAACCGCATTGATCTTTCCTACAGGGAAGCGTTTGTTCTTCGGGGTGAACGGTCTCAATGTACATGGAATCATTTGATGCCCCTGCTCTGGCGAACAGGGGGTGATTACACTGGGTAAACTGCCCGCTGCGGTACAAAGTGCGGTGGACATAAAATCTCTTTAACAGGGCCTTCCCGCGGCCCGTGAGCAGGCTGCGACAGCCGTGCCCCCCTGGCGCCCGGACACCCGGGCACAGCATCCGCACGGAGCTGCCGGAGGCCTCTCACGGTGGCTAAGCTGCGGCCACCGGGAGGCTGACAAGCACCTCGAGTGGCCCTGCTGGACAGTGTTCTCTCGGTGCTTACCCTCGGAGCTGTGGGTGGCTCTGTCCCCTCCCGGGCCCCCAGCCCAGCCCACCCTGGAACTTACGCAGAGGACAGTGGAGTAGAAGAGCAGGGCCAGGGGGGTGAGGAGGTCATAGGTGCCCTCCTTCTGGACCTGTGGAGGGGACAGGGGCGGAGGGTGAGGCCCATTCACGGGTGCGGAACACAGCAGCGCTTTCTTGTTCTTTCTCAAGTGGAAAATCAATGCAACCACAAGACAAAAATTTGGAAAATAGAAGCTGGAAAAAAAACACACCCCACTCATAATGCCCCCTTCCAAACTCAACCGCAGCTAACGTCTCAAGATACCTCTCCTTACACCGGTTTTTTTCTGTGTATTTTCCTCTGCAAAGTTGTAATCCTAGTCTGTATATTTTTACTCTTAATGTCTTTTACATATAATATTATAAATGAATTTGTTTTGTTACATGACCTCTGAGACCATCTTTTGTTCCCCTCCTGGTTATACATTTATCTGTTATTTGTATTGTAAATGTTTTTTTCCAGTTTCTTGCTTGTCTTGTTGAAGTTTATGGACTTATGTATGTGAATTATGTGTTAATTTTTTCCTTTTTGGATTTTTGCTTTGTCATGCAAGGATCATGTGAATACTCTTATAGATTTTCTTCTTTTCTTTTGAAGCTTTACTTTCTTAAATTTAAGTCTTTAATACACCTACAATTCCATGTGCTGTATGGTATGAATTAGGATTCTCACTCTGTATTTTTCCAAATGTTTAATCAATTTCCTCAAAGCCATTTAATAAATATTATTGATGTAATTTTATTACATATTAAACTGTGTTAATATCCTTTGATAATATCCATTATTTTTTTAGCTGCATAATATTCTTTCTGGTAGATATCTATAATTTATTAGTTTCATTTTAGACATTTGAGATTATTCCTTGCTATTTAATTACTTTGGCAATGAAAACCTTTGAGCAAACTTCTTTTTCTGTAATTTGTCTGATTTATCTAGGATAGAGTTCAAGAAATGACTCAACTGATCAAGATTATACACATATTTATGACCTTGGAAACATATTGCCAATTGCTTTCCAAAAGGATTTTGCCATTTGTAGTATCTTATATGTGGGAAAGTACCAGCTTCACTACACCCTTCTCTGCATTGCTGATCATAATTTTTTGTTAATTTGCTAGGCAAAGGCCATCTCATCATGGTTTTAATTTGCATTTTTTTTTTTTTTTTTATCACTGGGGCAACATTTTTCCCGTATACGTTTACAAGTTCTAGTTATTCTTTTGTGCATTGTCTTTTTGATAGTGCTCACCCACCACAGCACATATGCACCTGTCTCTGCTGTGCCTGGTGACCTCAGCAGGCTCAAATGTAAAATTCTCCTTTTCTTTATCCTGAAGAGACCGTGCATCTGCTCCCCTATCACTGCACAGCAGTTGATCTTTATATTTGGGTTTGTAAGTTAAGCACCCCAGGGGAGGGTTAGCTCTCCTAAGGTGGTTTGCTTGTAAGTGCACCAGGTAAACAGTGGTGCTAGAACTGGGATCTTGGGTGTCTTGATAAACCAAGTCTTTCTTCGTATAGGTAAACGGTCAGCTAAATGAGAAAGTCAAATGTTTCCAACTCAGTCATGTATTTAAACAAAAACAAAACTTTAAGGAGAATTCTTTAGAAAAGAGCCAGGATCTTCCTTGGGGACTCACAGCTGTCCTGGAGCCCCAGCCCAGCTCAGCATTAAGTGAACCCTTCCTCTTAGACATAAAAGCCTACTATTCACCTGTTAGAGGAGGTCTCAGTTTACCTCTCCAATCAGTTTTCTCTTGTGTGTCTTTGTTTTTATGGATCTTCTTGAGGAAAGGAATTCAGTTGGCTTCCTCCCTTCTTTCTAGGCAATACCTTGACCGACAAGCAATGTCTGTCCTAAGCAGCTTACAAGACCCTGGTTCACGTATCATATGTTCTCACTGAGAGGGTGACATCCCTTTCCACAAAGCTTCAATCCACAGCTGACACAGAGAGCCTGCAGGTTCCCAGTGCCTTTGCCAAGCCCCTTGGTGGCCCAGGCGCCCTAGAACTGACATTCTGTGGGGGCCTCTTTCTTGACTCCAAGAGGCAGATCCCAGCTCTGCCCTTCAGCCCCCGGGCGGCCCTCACCTCTCGTGTTTTCTGCAGTATCTGCTCCAGGAGGATGAGGAAGTGACCTGGGTCCCTGCTGACCAGCTCCTGCAGGCTCCAGCAGTTCAGACACAGCCCGGCTGCAAAGGGAAGGCCAGAGGTCAGTCTGGGGTTGGAGAGAAGTGGGGATCCCTGGGCTCTCACTGGAGCATTCCTTTATAAAGTAAGAGTCTTAGAAAATTCTGGATCAACACTCAACCCTATCATGCCCCATTAAGACATAATGACAAGTTTCTTATTCCTAAAAGCTCAAGAAACACAGAGAGGGGCAGGGCCGATGCGCTGGCCCCGACCCTGGTCCCTGTGCATCTGGAGAGCACCAGTGCTCCCACTGCCTGCCTGTTTCCCACAGTAGGTGCTGGAACCTCCGAGATGCAGGAAGGGGGGTAGAGGCAGAGCTGGCTGAAGATAAGAAGAAGAGCCACGGTGACCCCCACCCTCGCCCCAACACAAGGCTGAGTCTCTGACAGCCACGGGACTTCCCAGGACTGCCTGGAATGGAGCCCAGGAAGGGGAAGCTGCATTCATTTATATTTTGAAAGCTACAATGAACACTTTACCATTCTAACTTCCCCAGACTTTCCTTATTTTCTCAATTTCTGTTTCTCTACAGTCAGCAAGGGTAAACCCCTAAAAATGAAAAGGGTAGTTCCGGAGGCACACACGTGCATGTGTGTGTGTGTGCGTGTGCACAGTGGGGAGTGAGAGCACTGGGGGCACAAGTGGTTAGACCGTGAGTTTCATGGAGCTCCAGGCCCCCTCATGTGCATGGGCTCCTCCCAAAGTCCTGGAGGCCCCTAACAGTGTGCTTCGTGTGGTCGTAGGTTTTTGTAAAATTTGTAAAAGTCAGATATTTTTGTATTTTACTTAATGATGGCCCTGTCAACTCTATAAGCGTAAAACCTGGGTAGGAGGCAAGAAGAAAAATACTGCCACTTATTGACCGCCTACTATGTGCCAGGCCTCTGCATACACTATACCCATTGAACCTGCCATCCTCCCTTGGAAGGTGGGAGGAAGGTGGTTCCTATTGTTAATATTTTCACTTTACAGAGAAGACAAGTGATGTCCTGAAAGGTTAAGTGACTCGCACAAGTTTTTATAGCCAGTGAGAGTGAGTTTAATCCAGATTGGTTTAATTCCAAAGGCCAAGAAAAGCCTCTCAGAGAAGGTGATGTGTGAGCTGAGACCTGGATGAGAAAGGCCCAGCTGCACACAGTTCTGAGGGAAGAATTCCAGGCAGCAAGTACAAAGGTCCTGGGGTAGGAAGGAGCCAGGTATGTTCAAGGAGCAGTGGGTATCTCTCTCAAGGGGTAATTAGGGAAATAGGGGATAGGAAAAATCTTTACAAGCATAAGGAATTATTACAATTAGCCACCGGACTTTCAGAGACAGAACTGCCCCAGCCTGCAGAAACCGCCATTTCTCAGTCCTGGGGAACATGGAACATGAAGGCCCCCAGCTCCCTGTAAACAGAGTTCTGGGGAGAGCTGTCTATGAATTCCCAGCCGTTCTTTCGGAATCAGCTGGTGCGGCATTTCTCAGCAGGTTCAATAGCTGCCGTGCTCCTAGCATATGCTAGGGAAGCAGGATCCAGCCCTGAGAAGGGGGAGGGAGAGAGCATGGAGGAGAAACTGCCGCATACTGAGGGCCCCCTCTCCATCAGGTGCTGTGCCAAGCACCTGCCCAAGTGAGGTCCAGGGGTTTGCAAAGACACACAGAGATGGAACCAGAATCTGCCAGCTTCCATGCCCGGGCCAGTGCTCACTGCAGCCTCTGAGGCTTCCTTGGGCCTTAAGAGCACCTCCCTAGTTCCCGCAGACCTACCTGACCAGGAGGTGGAGCGGCGGCGGTTGAAGCTGAGTCCGTGCAAGCAGCGCTCCAGGGCGTGCAGGATGCGGTCCTCTGTGCACGTTGTGGCCCCTGGCTGCATCCTGAGTCATTGCCTGCATGGAGACAGACTCGGTCAGCCCGGAGACCCCCAGGTGTGAGAAGGACACGGCACTCACAGCCCAGTGCCACCAGCCTTGCTATTGCTTGGGTGCTGTGGGCACAGCATGGGGGGCTTACAGCTGCCTCCAGGGCTGGAATGGCCCCTGGGGGGTGCTGCTCTGAGTGGCAGGAAGGGGTGCTCCTGCAGCCCAATGGCACAATGCTACAGGAAGTAAGGGACAGGAGTGAGAGGTGCCTGCCCCATGAGCAGTGATGAGTGTCTCCAAGAGCCTGGGGAGAACCCAGGGAGTAGCCAGACCCAAGTAGGCTGGGCAGGAGGACCTCAAGGGAACCATCAGAACCACTTGGGGATTTTTTTGCATTTCCAGGCCTGCATCTCCCAACCCCAGGGATGGGCAGAGCACAGAGATCCCCCTCAGTGCACTGGGCACTCTAACGCCCCCCCAGCCTGCCACAACCTCTGCTTGGGTGCCAGAGCTGCGGGCACCTCTTCCTTTTCTGCCTTCACCTCCACTTTTGCTATTTTTCTTTCCTTTCTCTGAGGCTTGGCAGTGTACCAGTTATCCAAAGACCCTGATAGGCGCCCCGCCCTTGTCCTAGTGAGGAGAGACCCAGGGTGCTTAGCTCAGGCTGGAGGGCCACTGAGGAGGGGACTTAAGAGGGGGTTTTAGCACCAGATGGGGAACTGTGGGAAGTGCCAAATTCTAAGAGCCTCCAGAAGGTCCAGCCCTGCTTCTCAGTTATGTGGAAGGGTCCTCAGGGTCCCCTGATATCCTAATGGTGGATGTGCTAGGTAAGCTTTCAGGACATGGAAGCTATCATGCCCCAGTCTTTGCCACAACTATTTCCCTAGGGAATTCACTGCATTTACCGGCCAAGCAGCCTCCACTGCTGGCCAAGCAGGCCAGGTGAGGGAGGGAAGCTGAAGAAGCAGCGGTCCAGCTCTGTGGAACTGGGGACAGACCAGGAAACCACAAGCAGAAGCACAAAGCTTAGCTGAGCCATGCAAACAACATGCAAAGAGTTATGTGATCTCAAGCTGGACTCAGACACGTGATGGGCAGTCAGCTCACAGGGGCCCCAGAAGGCACATCCCCTGTTCCCCCAGCCAGGGAGGAACCACCATCCATGGAAACGTAGCCCTTGTGAGTTGTCCAGCATCACATCACTTCAGTGATGTCCCTGGGATGCAGCGGTCTGCATGTATTTATTCTTTCATGTCGTTAATGACCACCTACTATGTGTCAGGCAGTAGGGACACAGCATAGAATGAAGCAGGGTAGCTCCTTGGTAGGCGACAAACATTAAAAAACAATTTATCAGACAAAGAAAGAGTTCATCGCAGAAGGTGGCTATAAAGAAAGTGGTGGTACTGGGAGGGGGCTGGATGGGGAGCCCACTCTAGGTTGTCGGAGGTCAGTGAAACCTCTCAGAAGGGATGTTTGAGATGAGGCAGTCAGGAGAAAAGTTAGGGGGAAATGGCCCAGAAAGAGGAGACAGCATGTGCAAAGGTCTGGGCACAGGAACGAGCCTGCCAGGGACTGAGAGCCTGGAGCACAGGCCAGCTTTCCAGGTCCCACACCTTCCAGCTGCTGAGCTGGCTGACTGAGTTCAAAAACCTCTCACTAGTTCTTCAGGTCATGGACCTTGGGCATTTCCATTTGTGGCACCTCAAAGCCTGAAGATGCCTTCCAGGGCAACTTTCACAGTCTCCTTCGGGCCTTTGTCGGCTGATTCCCCATTGTAGTCCAGGCAGTGAGTCCGTGACCCTGAGCCAGGCCAGCAGAGTTCAGGTTTCTAGGCCCCTCCCTCACCTGGGCTGTGCTGTTACCTGGCCTGGATGCAGGTGCCTGGGAAGAGACACTTGTGATAAGGCCTCACCCTTCTGCCGTCAGTGGCAGCCAAACGCAAGACGCGTTCAAGCCTGATCCTGCTCAGGCTGGGGACTAGCGGTACCTGCTGGAGGAGCTGGGACACCAGACACCTTCAAGGGATGAGCTTGGGACATAAACGGCTAGCTGGCCGGAATGTCATCAGCAGGTCTTTGTCTCCCCTGGCTGATGTCTTCCCTTGAGCCCCAGGGCAGGTTATTATTATTATTATTGATTTCAGAGAGAGGAAGGGAGAGGGAGAGAGAAAGAGAAACATCAATGATGGGAGAGTCACCGAATGGCTGCCTCCTGCATGCCCCCTACTGGGGATTGAGCCCCTGGCGTGTGCCCTGACTGGGAACTGAACCAAGATCTCCTGGATCACAGGTCGATGCTCAAATGCTGAGCCACACTGGCGGGCCCAGGGAAGGTTTTTGGAGGGAGCTCAGGGGTCAGCCCCCTACAAGTCCTTCATTTCACCAAAGGGGAAGCAGAGACCCAGAGGGGAGGAGGGGCTG